GCAATCACTGTGGAAGAGAAAGCAGACCATGACGTGAGGTACAATATTGAAAGTTCATATCACAACGTTGTCAGCAATGTGAATAGAAAAAATCTTGAAAAATTCAAAGAAGACAAGCATATTGTGAATTTAAAAAAATTTCGCGATCAAAGCAGCATTCGTAAATCGCCAGCAAGATATATGACCAATTTGCGTGACTACACATTCAAGTACAATGAACTTTCAGATAAACAAGTGGCATACGGCGACTTCACTCATCGTATTTTTAAACGAAATGCAAACCCCAACGTCAATGTGACAATCTTCACCACCACCTCTACCACCAAAAATACCACCTCCCTCCTCCATTGCCTATTTTCAACGTTCCTCCGGTTTGTGAAAGAGACAAATCCTGCTCTCAGGTCGATGTACTGGAAATAAAACTGACTGGAGAAGCAATGACGGCCTTTCATGTTACTGTGACGTAGCTTGTTATGAAATTTTAATGATTGTTGTGCTGATTATGTCAAATATTGTGGAGAACAAAAACCTGGAAATTCCTTTAAAAATTTAACTGGACATGTGAGTCGTTGGGTCATTTTGATGCAAGGGGACAGTGCCAAGTGGGTAATGGTTTATGGATGATATCACGATGTGCGCATGACTGGCCATACGACATAATCCGAAGCAAATGCGAACAACCGGTCACAACTTTGAGGAATGCTTCGGACATTGCTCGGTACCTACCGGCGATTAAATATGATTTGGTGTTTCGAAACCATTTTTGCGCGCTATGTAACAGAATCAAGGGTGATTTTGAATATTTTCCTTTAAAAATCAAAACTAACATTCTACCACCTAAACGATATAGTTTTGAAAAAAAAATCAATTTTTTATTGATCCACGGAGCCGAGTTCCCAAGGAGTGGACCACAAAAACCAAAAACTAACCAGACCAGACGATACTGTTTAAAGCCAATTGTGAACTCGTGTCAAAATGACAAAAGGAATGACACTTGTAGGAATGGACCTGTGAGTATAATCTCAATTTTTGGACAGCATTATAAAAACTACGAATGTGCTTTATGTAACAATCCCCTCGGACCTTATCAATGTTTCCCGGACTTGTTAAACCAAGTTTGTATGTTAACATCCCCACAAAAGTTTACATTGAATTTAGACTATGGAAACATTACGTCAAAATTAGCTTTACATCGTTCATGTTCCGGATACGACGTAAGATTAGAAGAATGCGTTCAAGTATTGCCAATACCAACAGGAAACAAGGACTCTTTTCGTATTTTAACATGGTTAAGTCCATCAGCAAACGACAGGTTCAATAAAAATGACTTCAAAGGTATAATGAATCAGTATTATGGTATTGAAAGCTCACAGATACAGAACATCAGTATACAAACAGTTCTAAGGGTATTTGGATTGCCTTCCTATTCAGGAACACCAATATTATATCATTTAGTTCATTCAACAATTGTTTTAACTCCAGAACAGAGTTTTAATATATACTATAATGCATCTTCAAGTTCGAGAAATCTTCAAGAATTCATATATTTTAAGCAATCCAATGCAATAACTTGGAATAACATCACGTACACTATAATTAAAACTACATCACGTCCATTATCTTGTGTTGGGAAAAAAATTTACAATCAACGCAGTTATACAGTTATTGACGACGATAAAATTAAAATAAACTCGACTGGGAAAACTTATGAAAGATCACAGTACTACGGTGATATTGGAAATAATGTTGTGGTTTGCGAGGAATACATGCCAAACGGTTGTCAGCTGACCAAAGTTGGTCTCACCAAGAATGACGTCACCATATACAAGAATTTGGCTTTGAGAGTGAACAACACTAGAATGTTTTATAATCGCGGCAACTATGAAGTTTCTAACGGCTTAATTTCACTATGCAAAACAAGAGAATCTTCCACACCAACATGTTCAACTCAAATGTCATGCAAAGGTCGCTGCAGTAACAAGACAGAATGGCGAAACATTGTCAAAATGACATGCTCATGTGATCCAGATTGTCATAAAGTTTTCGGAGATTGTTGTTCAGATTACACAAAGTATTGTGGAGCGCAAACATCTGGAGAAACACCGAGGAAGACATATAACTACACATGTGAGAACTTTGGCAAATATGATTCAACATTTTGCCCAGTCGCAGACGGAGTTTGGATGGTTAGTGGATGTTCATATGAATGGCCTCGCGATTCAACGCGAAGCAAGTGTGAGACACCAATAGAAGAGCTCCCACAATCGTCGGATATCTTAACAGATATCTTTGGTTATCTTCCAGTGATATCCAAGGATAATACAACATTTCGTAACATGTATTGTGCAATTTGTAATAATGAGATGGAGTACAATTCTTGGCCGCTTAAATTTCGATCTGCAGTAATACCCCCAGAAACTTCCAATATAACCAAAATTATTCGCTTCCTGGAAAAATACAACGCGCGGTTCGGTGACCACGTGGGACCTATACCAGCAACAGATCAAGCTAGGCGATACTGTTTGAGAAGAATTATCAATAAATGCCCACCAGGTAAAGAGGATCCATCGTGTGATTATGGAAATGTTAATTTAGTTTCATTCGGCAGTTATCATCTTTACACTAACAAACGTTGTGCAGTGTGCAATGGTTTATCCAAAGATAGGGTGAGCGTTCCTCAATGTTTTCCAAATGAAATTATTATGCCATGCGACAGAATTTTTCAACCTCGGTCGTTATCCATTGTATTTGGACACACGCAAGGACAGAATGAAGTTGTTCGTTCAGTCCCCATATACGATGAAAGATGTGAAAGAAACGGATTGGTCTATGATGATAAGTTACATGTCTGTCGTGTTAACTGGTTACCTTCACCAGAAGAAAATGGAAGAGAAATATTTTATGTCTTGTCTTGGCTACAACCATCGCAGATTCAGTTTGAAATATCATTTACAGCAATGGATTTTCAGAACTCGCTTTCTAAATACTTAAACATGACACGTGAACAATTCTTCGACATCAATATAACGAAAGTTTCTGGTCGTCGAACACCGATAATTCAGTTCTACATTGTGGAAACAAAGATCATCTTAACATCACAACAAAGTTTGCAATTTCTATTCAACACGATAAATGCCACTGAGTTTGACAAACGAATTCGTGAGTTTATATACTTTAGGGAAGAATTTTCTCTTCAAATCAAAAATCTAAACTATACCATCATCAAAACAACATCCCGACCCCTTGCTTGTGTTGGAAAGGTAACATACACTCCTGAAGAATACATTTTACAGCAGAATGAACGTGTTTTGATACGAAGCACAAATGAAACTTTGAACATTATGAATACTACCGAGAAAGGAAAGAAAACTTAGTGCGAAACAAGGAAACATCACAGTATGTAAAAATATGTTCCCACAAAATGTAATGGAACTGAAGTTATCTATTCACCACAAGAATATAACTTGATGAATAACCTCACTATCTACGTATTCAAGACATTTCGTACCTATTACTATGGAGAATATGAAATTCTTTCAAACTATTCTGTAAAAACTTGTCAAACGTTTGTGGTAAAGTTTGTCAAAAGAATTCGTGAAGTGCACAACGAAGCCCTTGGATATATTACATTTGTCTTTTTTCTTATCTCCATAATTTTCTTGACATTTCTTCTCGTCACCTACATCATATTCCCTCAACTACGTACTTTGCCAGGTAAAAACATAATGAACTTCGCCTTTACTTTGCTATTGTTTGAAATATTCTGGCTCCCCACAAACTTTACCAAGGTAACTGACAACGAAAATATCTGTAAAGCATTTGCAATCATCGAACATTATTTTCTACTGGCGTCTTTCTTCAGCATGGTTGTCATTGCTCATCATACCCGAAAGGTGTTTGGAAAAAACCTCCCTGCACCAAAAATGTCGCCGGGACACGAACGAAAGCTGTTTTACGCGTATTTGTGCTTAGTATGGATCATTCCTGCCTTGTTTATCGCAATTTGTGTCGTCCTCGACAGCGAAGAAATAATAAATTTGGGTTATGGAGAGACGGATATTTGCTGGTTAACGGGAACAAATTCCTACGTTTATTTTGTAACGATACCTGTGATACTCATGCTGATGTTTAATGTCGTGGAATTTGTGAGAACCGCTATACAACTTCGTAAACACGCCCAGAATCAAGCAGGTCTAACTGCAAGTGGAAAACGATCTTCAAATCTCAGCATCTACATTCGTCTTTCAACCTTGATGGGTTTTACATGGCTATTTGGTCTCCTGGGTCAAGTGGTGACGTCAACATCTGTGTTTTACTATCTTTTTGTTATATTTACATCATTAGAAGGTTTTTTTGTAGCATGGGCCTTTGTTTTGAACGCTAAAACTCTAAATTTGTATAGACATCGCTTCAGAAACACGGATAAAACTTCGAGCAGCAGTAATATTACCGCAAAGAAATCGTTGCCCAAATCTGATCACAACGACACAAAACTGTAAAATATTGTCCACATCGTAATCATCCATTGTCATCATTACAGATTATACATAATATAAATCCTGATATAAATCTTGATATAAATCCTAATCGTAATCCATTGTCATTATAATAATAATGAACAAGTATTCAACGCTCACAGAGACACTGACGTTGTGTTTATGTGTATATATATTTGTGTTAATTGCATTAATAAGCCCTTAATAACTGAGCTCGAGGTCTTTACGGAGAAATAACGGATCGATGTCTTTTGTACAGACCGGTGAGGTTTGTACAAAAAGACAGAGGTCCGATAATTCTCAGTAAAGACCGAGAAAGCGAGGTTATTAAAAGGATTATTATATGGCATTATTTGACCTGAAACGAAGCTTGCTTTCTTTCTCGTCTTTGCTGTTTTTACGGGTTCGTTTTCACTTTTCTAGTTTTCGTTCATAAAAAATAAATCGTTTCAAATTGTATCGTCTGGATAGTTAAACTGCTTTCCAAGTGTTTTCTTCGACTCACATTCGTAAATGTTTTTGTTTGCGTTTTGCTGTTTGCATTACGAAGTTTGTTTACGTTTGACAGTAAAATTACGCGTTTTGGACCGTGGTCGATTACGGGAAAATAATGGACCGGCAAAAATGTTTCTGAGCCAATCAAAGCGCACCATTTTGCCGGAAGTGACGCTTGCCTTATAATAATGTGTGCATAATCAATTATATCAAATTATTGTCTTTGACATTCTCCTGTAACCCTCCAGTTAACGATTATTTATGATTGTAGAAAGAACTCTACTGTTAATAGTAAGACGAAAATATTTTAAGTAGCAGATCATTTTTTAACTGTATTTTCTATTTCTGTAGTTATTTTCTATATAATACTCAATATAACCATTAAATATCCATAATTTCCCATAATTCATAACTTACATTTATCCCAAGAAAAGTGACTTATTTAAATGCAACTTACCAAATGTCGTCATGGTCAAAAGGATGAACAAGAAAGTGACCTGACATAAAACATGAAAATAAACAAAAATTTCAGAGCAAGCTACATCACAGTTAATTTTTCTTTAAATGTTAAAGATTTTGGTTGCATTGCCCTACTTTAATAATATAAAAAAGTAAATCAAGAAAAATTACCAGGAATTTTGGAAAGTTCAATAGCATGAATGTTTGCTTCATCCCAAACCTGGATGAAATTAATGAAGAAAAATACAAAAATCATTTAGATTGAAATCATTTAGGTGATACAAACAATGAAAAACATATGAATGAAATAAATTATATTACAGCGAAATAAATTATATTACAGTGAAATGAATAATCATCAAAGTTCATGATGATCAAGTCAACCCCCCTGCACATCAAATTAACATCTTGCCTAACAAAGTCCCACATGACCATATAGCTTCAGAATACAACTGCTGTCAACAAATCAGTATTTAGACAAGCCCATCTCATCCGCACTTAGTTAACTTTTCAACATTTGTGTGCAACAATAAAACATTTTTTACAAGAAAACAAGTTGTGCATAATCTACCTTTCCTTTTACAATAACATTTGCTCCTTCTTCTTTGATTCTTTTGATGGTAAAATCAGGTGTAATTTCTGGTACAACAACAGTTGTGGGCATTTTTAGCTTTCTCCCTGCATAGGCTGCAGCCAAGCCAGCATTGCCTCCTTTAACAGAAAAATATTGAGAACATGTAACAACAATTGAGCAACAATAACTTGCATTATTTGATGGAAGAAAATGGCAAACAGTTTTACAAGGAAATACTACAGCAGTAAATTGTGCGTTCACATACCTGACGATGATACAATGTTTGTGTAACCTTTCTCTAAAGCCTAATTAAGTACAGAAATTACAGAGAGTGAATAAGTATCATAAGTATATGCCACGATAATTATAACAATTATTATTATAAAATATCAAAGTTCCCTTTCCCTCATATATTTTAAAGAAGTATACCATCTGGGAATAGTACAAGAAACCTATTGAATCATAAAATAATGATTGTGACACCTTCTTACAGCAGTTTCCAATACCGCGAATTTTAAAAGAGCCCGCTGGCTGCACATTCTCTAGCTTCAAGTATACATTACAACCAACTTTGTTGCTTAAACAAGTACTTTGTAATAAAGGAGTTCGAAAATATAAATTAGATGTGTATGACTTCGTATAGTGCTTTGTTTTACCCGCCATGTTAGTCAGTCACATGACTGCTTCCAGCAAAGAATAATCGATTATAGTAGTGCGTGTCGCTGAAATATTTAGTTCATGTTGATGTTGGTCACGTAAACCTAAAACGATTAATTGCAATATATCAAATTGAAGGAAAAATCTGCAGTTAAAAATTAGTAAATTTTCTCATTAAATAACAAGATGGTTCTTTCTGAACACAGAACTTATGAGAACAGCTTTACACACTCAAAAGAAGAAATATTAAAAAAATACAAAGCCGACAATTCGTTTCCTTTAAAGGACATTGGCAACGAAAATTTTTATGGCATATTTTTGAACCTTTGCGATGTCTAACAACTAAAATAGAAAAATTTTTTCTCTAAAATATTTTGTTGCTGAGATATTTGCAGCAAAAGTTTTATAAATTGCGCCATCTTGGATAAAATTTTGATAAAATTATCTCGAGCGGTAGTGACGTCATTGGCTGGTGAGCAGTCAAAACAACAATACTTTGTGATTGACTGCGTTACAACACATTTAAAGCGTATTTTACGGCTTTTTTTTGCTGTAATGGATGACATACACGAAAATCAACCGGGTGAGGTTCTGCCCTATCAATATGAACCTGAATTGAAGGCCGAAACTAGTGAAGAAAGCGGTTCCGAACAGGAGAGTGAGCAGAGCAACTTGCCCTCGTCGGAGGATGAAATACATGCTGATTTTGAGAAAGCAAATGCTTAGCGCCTTCAATCTCTTAGTTGGTGTAAGTTTGGACATTGTACTTTGTCAAAAAAGGCAATCGAGTGTTTTTTTTGCCACGAAAAAGCGCTAGAATACGATGAGTATGAGGCTTTGCTAGGCCAAACAGAAACTCAAGGAGTAAATTGCTTGAAAACACACCAAGAATTTAGGGACAATATGCTCTCAGAAAGTGTGTTAAATATAGACGTGTGTCGGCATCTTGAAGAAAACTGGCCCCTGTCTGATGAGGATCTAGAGAGAATACACATGCTGTATCGATTAGTTGCCTATCAAAGATGTTCTAGGTGGATTTTTCAAATTTTGGGGAAGAAAGATCGAAGACCATTTCCTGCTTGTGTTTATGCTAACATACGAAAACGCTTCGCGTCACCAGACGGACTTTATACACATTTTAAATACGCATGTTATCACGAAAGACCGTAAATTTAGTCTTAGACAGACGCTCTTTGATGTTCTTTGTTATGATCTGCAATTGCGATGCCATATCATTGTCAAAGGATTGTCACGAACTGCGCAAAAGCAAAATGCATGAGTGATCCACCCAAAACTTGTATTCATTCATAAGTTATAAAGTTAATCGAAAAGTGTACTTGTACATTGTGCACGCAAACACGCACATAAAACATTACGGATAAACGAAACTCTACAGTCAAGAACAAAACATAGCGGCTTATAGCTTATCACCTATATAAAACTACATAATCTTTCAAAGACTCTTATGTATACAAATAATAAATTAAACGTATAACTCATTTGTTGGTCACAGGTTTGTAATATGGGAAAATGAAATATTTCTATTGCACGAAATGTTCAGTGTATAAAACGCGCTTGTTGTTGTCTGGGCTTACACTTGGTATGTCGGCAAAACCTAGTTGTAAGATCTGCTAAAATAAACGTTTCTACGTCTTATAACGACTAAATATTGGAAAAGTCTATAAGCGTGATAAACTACACAACTTTTGTTAATCTTAACAACCGCCGACTGTTGTTTTTGTTAAGTTTGAGACTTCAGGCATCAGGCGTTGAACTAAATGTTTGTTTTTGCACTGGTGTCGACACAAAAGCCATGACAATGCAGCGTTGTGTTTGTAAAAATGAGTAAAATAAGTAGGAGCCTATGTTCAATAATAAAAAATTCTTAAAACTAGAAATGTGAGTTTTGATTCATAATCGACATTAATTTAATGTACTACATGTGTTTATATGAACAGATATTGATAGATATTTTATGATGGATAGATATTGATAGAAATGGATAGACATTGATAGATATAACAAAGTATAAAGCAACCAAAATTTCACAGGGTATGGACTATAGAATAACCGAGACACAAATAATTTTTATAAAATAGTAAAAAATGAATGGTTTTTCTCTCCTATCACAATATCAGCTTATGCAGATTAGATCCAGAAAAAGTTTGACAAACTGCAACTGAACGCCATAACTTTTGAACAAATTTCGGCAAATACCATGGCAAATACTAATAAGCTTGTAACTTAAGTCGCGACAAAATTAACACACCCTCTCTTTCCCTGAAAATTTATCGCCCTCCTTTGACGACATTACAACATTACAGGGGGGAGGACTTCAAGTAACACCGGTATGTAGATATGAAATGTGCTGTCGACGTTGAAATGCATATACTACAGTTACCTATACTACTATTCAAAATAAGAAAATTTAATCTACAATATCAAAAGTTTCTTTCCATTCTTTCAGTTTCTTTAACGATACACCACTTCCTCCGCACACAATCACAACAACGTCTTTCAAATATTTAAGGTGACCTTTTTTTTGCAACTTTAGTAAAACATCAGAATATAATGCAGATAAGGTTGCCCCACAGGCGAGTTGAACCAGCATTTGATGGTCATCTGTTTAAACAAAACCAAACACAAATCAATTAAACTCAACGACGAGCATCTATTTGCCAAGATATGAAAAATCAACTATCTTGTTGGGGATCGCCTCCCAAGTTTCTCCCAACACTTCACTAATTTTAACAACAGGTTTGATGAAGATATTTTTATTTCACAGTCCCAAAAAGCAACAAGAATAATAACAACACGTGTTCTCCTTTCTATCGCAATTCGCATATCACATAAGAAATAAGCAAAGGTCAAGGAGTACTCGCGTCGCCCTATCAATTCAAGCTTGAATGTAAGTAAATGAAACGTCAAAGACAGATGTTGGGTCGAAGCACATTGGTTGTGCAATTTTTGATTTGTTTACTTGTGACTTGTACAGCAATCGTTGTGCAAGAGAAAGCAGATGTAAGGTACAATATTGAAAGATCATATCACAACGTTGTCGGCAATGTGAATAGAAAAAATCTTGAAAAATTCAAAGAAGACAAGCATATTGTGAATTTAAAAAAGTTTCGCGATCAAAGCAGCATTCGTAAATCGCCAGCAAGACATATGACCAATTTGCGTGACAACACATTCAAGTACAATGAACTTTCAGATAAACAAGTGGCATACAGCGACTTCATTCATCGTATTTTTAAACGAAATGCAAACCCCAACGTCAATGTGACACACTCACCACCACCTCTACTACCACCTCTACCACCTCCTCCTCCATTGCCTATTTTCAACGTTCCTCCGGTTTGTGAAAGAGACAAATCCTGCTCAGGTCGATGTACTGGAAATAAAACTGACTGGAGAAGCAATGACGGCCTTTCATGTTACTGTGACGTAGCTTGTTATGAAATTTTTAATGATTGTTGTGCTGATTATGTCAAATATTGTGGAGAACAAAAAAACCTGGAAATTCCTTTAAAAAAATTTAACTGGACATGTGAGTCGTTGGGTCATTTTGATGCAAGGGGACAGTGCCAAGTGGGTAATGGTTTATGGATGATATCACGATGTGCGCATGACTGGCCATACGACATAATCCGAAGCAAATGCGAACAACCGGTCACAACTTTGAAGAATGCTTCGGGCATTGCTCGGTACCTACCGGCGATTAAATATGATTTGGTGTTTCGAAACCATTTTTGCGCGCTATGTAACAGAATCAAGGGTGATTTTGAATATTTTCCTTTAAAAATCAAAACTAGCATTCTACCACCTAATCGATATAGTTTTGAAAAAAAAATCAATTTTTTATTGATGCACGGAGCCGAGTTCCCAAGGAGTGGACCACAAAAACCAAAAACTAACCAGACCAGACGATACTGTTTAAAGACAATTGTGAACTCGTGTCAAAATGAGAAAACGAATGACACCCCCACAAAAGTAACACCCCCACTAAAGTTTACATTGAATTTAGACTATGGAAACATTACGTCAAAATTAACTTTACATCTTCATGTTCCGGATACGACGTAAGATTAGAAGAATGCGTTCAATTATTGCCAATACCAACAGGAAACAAGGACTCTTTTCGTATTTTAACATGGTTAAGTCCATCAGCAAACGACAGGTTCAATAAAAATGACTTCAAAGGTATAATGAATCAGTATTATGGTATTGAAAGCTCGCAGATACAGAACATCAGTATACAAACAGCTCTAAGGGTATTTGGATTGCCTTCCTATTCAGGAACACCAATATTATATCATTTAGTTCATTCAAAAATTGTTTTAACTCCAGAACAGAGTTTTAATATATACTATAATACATCTTCAAGTTCGAGAAATCTTCAAGAACTCATATATTTTAAGCAATCCAATGCAATAACTTGGAATAACATCACGTACACTATAATTAAAACTACATCACGTCCATTATCTTGTGTTGGGAAAAAAATTTACAATCAACGCAGTTATACAGTTATTGACGACGATAAAATTCAAATAAACTCGACTGGGAAAACTTATGAGAGATCACAGTACTACGGTGATATTGGAAATTATGTTGTGGTTTGCGAGGAATACATGCCAAACGGTTGTCAGCTGACCAAAGTTGGTCTCACCAAGAATGACGTCACCATATACAAGAATTTGGCTTTGAAAGTGAAGAACACTAGAATGTTTTATGATCGCGGCAACTATGAAGTTTCTAACGGCTTAATTTCACTATGCAAAACAAGAGAATCTTCACACCAACATGTTCAACTCGAATGTCATGCAAAGGTCGCTGCAGTAACAAGAGAGAATGGCGAAACATTTTCGAAATGACATGCTCATGTGATCAAGATTGTCATGAAGTTTTCGGAGATTGTTGTTCAGATTACATAAAGTATTGTGGAGCGCAAACATCAGGAGAAACACCGAGGAAGACATATAACTACACATGTGAGAACTTTGGGACATATAATTGCAGACTCGCAGACGGAGTTTGGATGGTCAGCGGATGTACATATGAATGGCCTCGCGATTCAACGCGAAGCAAGTGTGAGATACCAATAAAACGGCTCCCACGATCATCATTGGATATCTTAACAGATATCTTTGGTTATCTTCCAGTGATATCTAAAGATAATACAACATTTCGTAACAGGTATTGTGCAATTTGTAATAATGAGATGGAGTACAATTATTGGCCGCTTAAATTTGAATCTGCAGTAATACCCCGGAAACTTCCAATATAACCAAAATTATTCGCTTCCTGGAAAAATACAATGCGCGGTTCGGTGACGACGTGGGACCTATACCAGCAGCAGATCAAGCTAGGCGATACTGTTTGAGAAGCATTATCAATAAATGCCCACCAGGTAAAGAGGATCCATCGTGTGATTATGGAAATGTTAATTTAGTTTCATTCGGCATGATTATTACACTAACACACGTTGTGCAGTGTGCAATGGTTTATCCAAAGATAGGGTGAGCGTTCTTCGATGTTTTCCAGATGAAATTATTAAAGAATGCCCCGGCATTTTCGACCTCGGTCGTTATCCATTGTATTTGGACACACGCAAGGACAGAATGAAGTTGTTAGTTCAGTCCCCATATACGATGAAAGATGTGAAATAAAAGGATTGGTCTATGATGATAAGTTACATGTCTGTCGTGTTAACTGGTTACCTTCACCAAAAGAAAATGGAAGGGAAATATTTTATGTCTTGTCTTGGCTACAACCATCGCAAATTCAGTTTGAAATATCATTTACAGCAATGGATTTTCAGAACTCGCTTTCTAAATACTTAAACATGACACGCGAACAATTCTTCGACATCAATATAACGAAAGTTTCTGGTCGTCGAACACCAATAATTCAGTTCTACATTGTGGAAACAAAGATCATCTTAACATCACAACAAAGTTTGCAATTTCTATTCAACACGATAAATGCCACTGAGTTTGACAAACGAATTCGTGAGTTTATATACTTTAGGGAAGAATTTTCTCTTCAAATCAAAAATCTAAACTATACCATCATCAAAACAACATCCCGACCCCTTGCTTGTGTTGGAAAGGTAACATACACTCCTGAAGAATACATTTTACAGCAGAATGAACGTGTTTTGATACGAAACACAAATGAAACTTTTGAACATTATGAATACTACCGAGAAAGGAAAGAAAAACTTAGTGCGAAACAAGGAAACATCACAGTATGTAAAAAATATGTTCCCACAAAATGTAATGGAACTGAAGTTATCTATTCACCACAAGAATATAACTTGATGAATAACCTCACTATCTACGTATTCAAGATATTTCGTACCTATTACTATGGAGAATATGAAATTCTTTCAAACTATTCTGTAAAAACTTGTCAAACGTTTGTGGTAAAGTTTGTCAAAAGAATTCGTGAAGTGCACAACGAAGCCCTTGGATATATCACATTTGTCTTTTTTCTTATCTCCATAGTTTTCTTGACATTTCTTCTCGTCACCTACATCATATTCCCTCAACTACGTACTTTGCCAGGTAAAAACATAATGAACTTCGCCTTTACTTTGCTATTGTTTGAAATATTCTGGCTCCCCACAAACTTTACCAAGGTAACTGACAACGAAAATATCTGTAAAGCATTTGCAATCATCGAACATTATTTTCTACTGGCGTCTTTCTTCAGCATGGTTGTCATTGCTCATCATACTCGAAAGGTGTTTGAAAACCTCCTGCACCAAAATGTCGCCGGGACACGAACGAAAGCTGTTTTACGCGTATTTGTGCTTAGTATGGATCATTCCTGCCTTGTTTATCGCAATTTGTGTCGTCCTCGACAGCGAAGAAATAATAAATTTGGGTTATGGAGAGACGGATATTTGCTGGTTAACGGGAACAAATTCCTACGTTTATTTTGTAACGATACCTGTGATACTAATGCTGATGTTTAATGTCGTGGAATTTGTGAGAACCGCTATACAACTTCGTAAACACGCCCAGAATCAAGCAGGTCTAACTGCAAGTGGAAAACGATCTTCAAATCTCAGCATATACATTCGTCTTTCAACCTTGATGGGTTTTACATGGTTATTTGGTCTCCTGGGTCAAGTGGTGACGTCAACATCTGTGTTTTACTATCTTTTTGTTATATTTACATCATTAGAAGGTTTTTTTGTAGCATGGGCCTTTGTTTTGAACGCTAAAACTCTAAATTTATATAGACATCGCTTCAGAAACACGAATAAAACTTCGAGCAGCAGTAATATTACCGTAAAGAAATCGTTGCCTAAATCTGATCACAACGACACAAAACTGTAAAATATTGTCCACATCGTAATCATCCATTGTCATCATTACAGATTATACATAATATAAATCCTGATATAAATCTTGATATAAATCCTAATCGTAATCCATTGTCATTATAATAATAATGAACAAGTATTCAACGCTCACAGAGACACTGACGTTGTTTATGTGTATATATATTTGTGTTAATTGCATTAATAAGCCCTTAATAACCGAGCTCGAGGTCTTTACGGAGAAATAACGGATCGATGTCTTTTTGTACAGACCGGTGAGGTTTGTACAAAAAGACAGAGGTCCGATAATTCTCAGTAAAGACCGAGAAAGCGAGGTTATTAAAAGGATTATTATATGGCATTATTTGACCTGAAACGAAGCTTGCTTTCTTTCTCGTCTTTGCTGTTTTTAAGGGTTCATTTTCACTTTTCTAGTTTTCGTTCATAAAAAATAAATCGTTTCAAATTGTATCGTCTGGATAGTTAAACTGCTTTCCAAGTGTTTTTCCTTCGACTCACATTCGTAAATGTTTTTTTGTTTGCGTTTTGCTGTTTGCATTACGAAGTTTGTTTACATTTGACAGTAAAATTACGCGTTTTGGACCGTGGTCGATTACGGGAAAATAATGGACCGGCAAAAATGTTTCTGAGCCAATCAAAGCGCACCATTTTGCCGGAAGTGACGCTTGCATTTAATAATGTGTGCATAATCAATTATATCAAATTATTGTCTATGACATTCTCCTGTAACCCTCCAGTTAACGATTATTTATGATTGTAGAAAGAACTCTACTGTTAATTGTAAGACGAAAATATTTTAAGTAGAAGATCATTTTTAACTGTATTTTCTATTTCTGTAGTGTATTTTCTATATAATACTCAATATAACCATTAAATATCCATATTTTCCCATAATTCATAACTTACATTTATCCCAAGAAAAGTGATTTATTTAAATGCAACTTACCAAATGTCGTCATGGTCAAAAGGATGAACAAGAAAGTGACCTGAAATAAAACATGAAAATAAACAAAAATTTCAGAGCAAGCTACATCACAGTTATTTTTTCCGTTAAATATCAAAGATTTTGGTTGCATTGCCCTACTTTAATAATATAAAAAAAAGGAAATCAAGAAAAACTACCATGAATTTTGGAAAGTTCAATAGCATGAATGTTTGCTTCATCCCAAACCTTGATGAAATTAATGAAGAAAAATACAAAAATCATTTAAATTGAAATCATTTAGGTGATACAAACAATGAAAAACATATGAATGAAATGAATTATATTACAGTGAAATAAATTATATTACAGTGAAATAAATTATATTACAACAAAATAAATTATATTATAGCAAAATAAATAATCATCAAAGTTCATGATGATCAAGTCCCCCTGCACATCAAATTAACATCATCTTGCCTAACAAAGTCCCACATAACCGTATAGCTTCAGAATACAACTGCTGTCAACAAATCAGTATTTAGGCAAGCCCATCTCATCCGCACTTAGTTAACTTTTCAACATTTGTGTGCAACAATAAAACATTTTTTACAAGAAAACAAGTTGTGCATAATCTACCTTTCCTTTTACAATAACATTTGCTCCTTCTTCTTTGATTCTTTCGATGGTAAAATCAGGTGTAATTTCTGGTACAACAACAGTTGTGGGCATTTTAAGCTTTCTCCCTGCATAGGCTGCAGCCAAGCCAGCATTGCCTCCTTTAACAGAAAAATATTGAGAACATGTAACAACAATTGAGCAACAATAACTTGCATTATTTGATGAAAGAAAATTGAAAACAGTTTTACAAGGAAATGCTACAGCAGTAAATTGCGCGTTCACATACCTGAGGATGATACAATGTTAGTGTAACCTTTCTCTAAAGCCTAATTAAGTACAGAAATTACAGTGATTAAGAATCATAAATACACGCCACGATAAATATAACAATTATTATTATAAAATATCAAAGTTCCCTTTCCCTCGTATATTTTAAAGAAGTATACCATCTGGGAATAGTACAAGAAACCTATTGAATCATAAAATAATGATTGTGACACCTTCTTACAGCAGTTTCCAATACCGCGAATTTTAAAAGAGCCCGCTGGCTGCACATTCTCTAGCTTCAAGTATACATTACAACCAACTTTGTTGCTTAAACAAGTACTTTGTAATAAAGGAGTTCGAAAATATAAATTAGATGTGTCTGACTTCGTATAGTGCTTCCTATTACCCGCCATGTTACTCAGTCACATGACTGCTTTCAGCAAATAATAATCGATTATAGTAGTGCGTGTCGCTGAAATATTTAGTTCATGTTGATGATGGTCACGTAAACCTAAAACGATTAATTGCAATATATCAAATTGAAGGAAAAATCTGCAGTTAAAAATTAGGAAATTTTCTCATTAAATAACAAGATGGTTCTTTCTGAACACAGAACTTATGAGAACAGCTTTACACACTCAAAAGAAGAAATATTAAAAAAATACAAAGCCGACAATTCGTTTCCTTTAAAGGACATTGGCAACGAAAATTTTTATGGCATATTTTTGAACCTTTGCGATGTCTAACAACTAAAATAGAAAAATTTTTTCTCTAAAATATTTTGTTGCTGAGATATTTGCAGCAAAAGTTTTATAAATTGTGCCATCTTGGATAAAATTTTGATAAAATTATCTCGAGCGGTAGTGACGTCATTGGCTGGTGAGCAGTCAAAACAACAATACAATATACTTTGTGATTGACTGCGTTACAACACATTTAAAGCGTATTTTACGGGTTTTTTTGCTGTAATGGATGACATACACGAAAATCAACCGGGTGAGGTTCTGCCCTATCAATATGAACCTGAATTGAAGGCCGAAACTAGTGAAGAAAGCGGTTCCGAACAGGAGAGTGAGCAGAGCAACTTGCCCTCGTCGGAGGATGAAATACATGCTGATTTTGAGAAAGCAAATGCTTAGCGCCTTCAATCTCTTAGTTGGTGTAAGTTTGGACATTGTACTTTGTCAAAAAAGGCAATCGAGTGTTTTTGCCACGAAAAGCGCTAGAATACGATGAGTATGAGGCTTTGCTAGGCCAAACAGAAACTCAAGGAGTAAATTGCTTGAAAACACACCAAGAATTTAGGGACAATATGCTCTCAGAAAGTGTGTTAAATATAGACGTGTGTCGGCATCTTGAAGAAAACTGGCCCCTGTCTGATGAGGATCTAGAGAGAATACACATGCTGTATCGATTAGTTGCCTATCAAAGATGTTCTAGGTGGATTTTTCAAATTTTGGGAAGAAAGATCGAAGACCATTTCCTGCTTGTGTTTATGCTAACATACGAAAACGCTTCGCGTCACCAGACGGACTTTATACACATTTTAAATACGCATGTTATCACGAAAGACCGTAAATTTAGTCTTAGACAGACGCTCTTTGATGTTCTTTGTTATGATCTGCAATTGCGATGCCATATCATTGTCAAAGGATTGTCACGAACTGCGCAAAAGCAAAATGCATGAGTGATCCACCCAAAACTTGTATTCATTCATAAGTTATAAAGTTAATCGAAAAGTGTACTTGTACATTGTGCACGCAAACACGCACATAAAACATTACGGATAAACGAAACTCTACAGTCAAGAACAAAACATAGCGGCTTATAGCTTATCACCTATATAAAACTACATAATCTTTCAAAGACTCTTATGTATACAAATAATAAATTAAACGTATAACTCATTTGTTGGTCACAGGTTTGTAATATGGGAAAATGAAATATTTCTATTGCACGAAATGTTCAGTGTATAAAACGCGCTTGTTGTTGTCTGGGCTTACACTTGGTATGTCGGCAAAACCTAGTTGTAAGATCTGCTAAAATAAACGTTTCTACGTCTTATAACGACTAAATATTGGAAAAGTCTATAAGCGTGATAAACTACACAACTTTTGTTAATCTTAACAACCGCCGACTGTTGTTTTTGTTAAGTTTGAGACTTCAGGCATCAGGCGTTGAACTAAATGTTTGTTTTTGCACTGGTGTCGACACAAAAGCCATGACAATGCAGCGTTGTGTTTGTAAAAATGAGTAAAATAAGTAGGAGCCTATGTTCAATGATAAAAAATTCTTAAAACTAGAAATGTGAGTTTTGATTCATAATCGACATTAATTTAATGTACTACATGTGTTTATATGAACAGATATTGATAGATATTTTATGATGGATAGATATTGATAGAAATGGATAGACATTGATAGATATAACAAAGTATAAAGCAACCAAAATTGCACAGGGTATGGACTGTAGAATAACCGAGACACGAATAATATTTATAAAATAGTAAAAAATGAATGGTTTTTCTCTCCTATCAGAATATCAGCTTATGCCAGAGCCCTCTATAGTATAAGAGTTGGGACATCTATTGTTATCCGTTTAGCTTACGTTGATTGGGCAATATTGATCACCTGATCAATTTCCGCCATTTTGGTTCCTAGTTTTGAAATTTTAGCTTGTGTTTATATAACAATTGCTGCTAGTAATACAGTATTTTGAGATAGTATTGCGTTTTTTTATGGATAAGTGTGTAATAACTGATTGTTGAAGGCTACTAAATGTCATTACATATCGCATAAATCGAGGATTACGAAAAAAATGAAAGAAATGCCTTTACGTCGAACTTACGAAATTTGATTGCGTATGGTGATTGTTGTGCTGAACTGCTTTTGATATAAGGTTCAATGAACTGACTCAAGTAGAGAAACATTTTTGGGCCAAATAATATTGCAAAGTTCGTGCTGATGCAGTTTCAATAGTTTTCTTACTCCAAAGCTTGTTTTTTAATCGAAGATGATTTCTCATTATGTTCTGAAACTGGTCAATCTACAAACCTCTCAATTCTCAGCCACTTCCATACTAAAACAACTACACCAAATCACAGAAACTCTTATGATTTTCCATGTTGTATTTTGCATTTTTAGTTCATCATTTAAAAATGAAGTAATTATAATTAGGATATTCAATGAAACAGCTGAGTACAATATATTTTTGGTATTGAATTGTACAAATGTACCCTACTTCTGTAGCTCAAAGTAGAAGATTCAACAAGTCTTCTAGACTTGTTGATGATATTTTAATTGTAGGTTTTGGTTTATAAGATCACAGAGGCATATCTCCATAATTTCAGCTATTTGGGCTTTTTAATGTATATTACAACTGTTGCTGCCTTTCTCATATATATTAAAATATTGCCGGCTTTCTGATATATATTTAGGTGCTGCTAGCTTTTTGATATATATATTTCACTGGCAATACAAGGCATAGAATTTGAACAAACGGGGCTGAGCTACCTCCAACACACCCCTGTTTTATCATTAAACACATATAGAAGTTTTGTCATTCCTCAACCAATAAATTTAACTCTTTGCTAAATTAAAGATTAGATCAGACTCATATGCTGTATAAAAGACAACAAACAGTTGCATTTATAGCAAACAGACTGTTCTTCAACAACAGAAATGTTTCATATTATAGAAATAATATATTCATTTTAAAGAAATGCTTCACCAAAATTTTCAGCAGAATCCCTAATAAACTTTATTAGAAATAAACTTTAATACTTTATAAAGTGATAAAGGCGAAATAACTTCATATACAGGAATAAAACGTTTAAGGTCAAATTCATCTTGGTCAAATCATTGCATATTTCAATAAGTAAAAAAGTCTGTCATTTTCTGCTGAGCAAGAAAATTTTGTGATCTTTCAGAATAAAAAATATCATGCTTGGATTAAATTGGGGGGGCATAAATCACTCACTACCATTAAATTGTTACAAATCTTGAACACAAATCTCTCCGGACCAAATCTGCATGATTACTATGATTCAAAGTTTCGAACAAAGTCTTGTCCAAGTATTTGATAACACTGATGCCAGGATAACATTGCCGCTTGCCACCAAGCTTAAAGATCTTGAAAACTTGTTACAGAGTCGGAACATAAGCCGAGAAAACACGTTCACGTACGAAAAATACTTCTTACAATGGGTCACGATCAATTTGAAGCACGAACTAGTAAACCGCAAACGAAGCTCAAACCAATGAAATTAAATCAGGTCTGCCGCAAATTGTTAGAAAAACGCAAAGAGCTTGCTAATATTCCTAATATATTTGATACTACCATGGAATAAGCTTAAATTGCTTTCTTCTTTTGCATATAAACCCAATTTCCAATAGTATTATTATAGTTTCACTTTGCAAGTAGGAACCAAAATGGCGGCTCCGCGCTCGCCCCAGACCGTTTGTCCCAACTCTTATAATATAGAGGGCTCTGGCTTATGCAGATTAGATTCAGAAAAAGTTTGACAACACACTGTTTTTATCCGATTCGTTACCGAACTGATTTGTCGCGTTAAAACCTCTACTTTTGTAGAATCCATTACTTCGGTTGATTTTCTGATGGCAAAGCTTAATGCTTTGAATTTGCCAGTCAATTCCCTTTGATTTTCGTCTACTGTCTCGGTCATCATCGATATTATATTCACGCCACGCACCAATATCCCGTTAAATTTGTGCCTTAGATTGAACTAAACCACAGCCAAATATCCCGTCGGAGGTGCCACTATGTTGGGGATCGCCTCCCAAGTTTCTCCCAACACTTCACAAATTTTAACAACAGGTTTGATGAAGATATTTTTATTTCACAGTCCCAAAAAACAAGAATAACAGCACGTGTTCTCCTTTCTATCGCAATTTGCATATCACCCCATGTTCCTTGCTTACTATTGGCACAGAATATATACTATACAGAAGTACCACTCTTGACTTAACTTGTCGCTAATTTTTTATGCGCATGCTCCAATTCCGCCATCTTCCTGGCCAGTCAATAGCTGGCAGCGGTATATAAAACTATATGGTAAGATGCGAAGTGAAGACTGGAAAACGTCGATTTTTTTCAATTGAGGCTGTTCAATCTGATGCGTAATTTATAAAATAGCAAAAGCAAGGTATGTTTTAACTTTTCTGAAAGGTTTAAGGAATCTCAGTCGTACTTTATGCCGACTCATCGTCATCGCATGTTCGATTTGGTCAAACGATCACACCATGAATCTTTATGACACCATACGACTGAACTTTGATGATTGAACTACAGAACATTTATTTGGTGTTTCAGGATATTTTTCTGTGTTATTTAAGAAGAAAACATCCAGGAATATCTGCCAATTTAAAGCTGCACTGTTTATACGGTACCATTAAGACCAATATATTACTATAAATTCTATATAGTTATAGTTTTATTGAACATGTAATTAACATTTTATCAGTGGTTAGGTAGATAAATATACGATATATTAATCTTGTAAATGATCATATACCATTATAATGTATCTGAGAAATAGTGAATTGCATAAGAGCATACACACTGGCTGAACTGAAGTATTGTACTGTTGTTTAAATTTTGGTCAATTACAAAGACAGACATGAGCTAATTGAATGATAAGATAATTTATTACTTACCTTTGGTATACAAATAAATCTTAGTTGGACTAAAAAACAACTTTGACCATGACAAATGGCATCTATGCTGTGTGTTGTAGCAATAGTTGGTAGTTGAGTAATGTATTCTTGCAGTAAATCTCATAGACCAAATTTCCACTATTTATTTTATTTTAATAGAATCCTTCTGCTGTAGTTTTTTACTAGAAATAAATATAAACTGTATGGCAGAACTGTCCTGAGAATTAAAAGCAATGATCTTTAATTTTGTGAATTGTCTTGAAAACCTATGCTCATATTTTATTTTCCTTGTAAACTCAAACAATACTCAACATTGCTCAATTGATGATTGTTTATGCTTTATCTGTAATAGTAGTTTGTTCCTACAGTTTGTTCCTAAATATGATAATTCAAAGTGGAAGTGGTATATGGAAAACACAATTTACAAGTACTTCTTGCAAACTTTACATAACATCAGCTGTGGACTCAAACATTAATTAATGTCTGTTACATGATAGCAACTACTATCATGTAATATCATTATTATAATTTCATATATTACTGCACAATTCTTCATATTATAATTTCATATATTACCGCACAATTCTGCAAAGCTGACTCAAGCATTCCTGTTTGATTTCTCCATCTAAAAACACAAAAACTGACGATGTTGAGACAAGGGATTACAAGGAAAAGGAGGTTGGTGACAATTTAATGAAAGAGAATCCAATTGCTTATGTAGCTGGATACTTACTCCAGAAATATTTTGAAAAGCACAAGTGTTCCATATGTGAGTCAGTTATGGTCACAGACCAACTTGATGATAGCAGAAATCTGCTTTGCTACTTCAAGGCATATGAGTCAGACAAGAGCTTTGGCGGTCTCCTAGCACCAAAAGTAGCATTTTATGATCACACTCACATTTAAACGCGATGCTCGCTATGTAGGTAGGACTTCTCAAAGGTTGGGTGAGAGAATAAAACAGCATGTACCAGCTTCTGTCAGGAATAAAACTGTTCCTTTACGAAAACTACCAAAACGTGGGTGTAAAAGTGAAAATCCGATTCTATGTGATTCAGCGATTGGAAAACATCTTTTGAGCAACACTCGCTGTGCCAATGCTTATTCTGATGAAAACTTTAGAATTATTAAAAAATGTCGCTCGTTATTCCAGCTACGCGTCATGGAGTCGGTATTAATTAAATTGACTAATCCTGTCCTTTGCCGACAAAAGGAGTACGTGTTCAATCTGTCTCTGTTTTAAGTGTCATCTCTAAAAATAGGGATGACATTGACCTTTTCTAACGTTATAAATATAGCATGCTTTGGAGGTTCTCATTTAGCAGACGTTGACACCTGATGAGTAGTCTGCCGAAATGCATAGTGTCTCTTTCTAACTGTAAATAACGGTTCCTTTGAATTGTTTGGTTAGTATTTTGGTTAAAACAGTTCTTTTAAGAACTATTACATTGTTATTATCACCATTCACCATGGTATTTGCTATTTTGATACCTATTTTTAAATATTGTTAAACAGACAAGAAGAAATAAGTAAAGCTCAAGGAGTACTCGCGTCGCCCTATCAATTCAAGCTTGAATGTAAGTAAATGAAACGTCAAAGACAGATGTCGGGTCGAAGCACATTGGTTGTGCAATTTTTGATTTGTTTGCATGTGACTTGTACAGCAATCACTGTTCAAGAGAAAGCAGACCATGACGTGAGGTACAATATTGAAAAATCATATCACAACGTTGTCGACAATGTGAATAGAAAAAATCTTGAAAAATTCAAAGAAGACAACCATATTGTGAATTTAAAAAAGTTTCGCGATCAAAGCAGCATGCGTAAATCGCCAGCAAGACATATGACCAATTTGCGTGACAACACATTCAAGTACGACCTTTCAGATAAACAAGTGGCATACGGCGACTTCATTCATCGTATTTTTAAACGAAATGCAAACCCCAACGTCAATGTGACAATCTCACCACCACCTCTACCACCAAAAATACCACCTCCTTCTCCATTGCCTATTTTCAACGTTCCTCCGGTTTGTGAAAGAGACAAATCCTGCTCAGGTGGATGTACTGGAAATAAAACTGACTGGAGAAGCAATGACGGCCTTTCATGTTACTGTGACGTAGCTTGTTATGAAATTTTTAATGATTGTTGTGCTGATTTTGTCAAATATTGTGGAGAACAAAAAAACCTGGAAATTCCTTTAAAAAAATTTAACTGGACATGTGAGTCGTTGGGTCATTTTGATGCAAGGGGACAGTGCCAAGTGGGTAATGGTTTATGGATGATATCACGATGTGCGCATGACTGGCCATACGACATAATCCGAAGCAAATGCGAACAACCGGTCACAACTTTGAGGAATGCTTCGGACATTGCTCGGTACCTACCGGCGATTAAATATGATTTGGTGTTTCGAAACCATTTTTGCGCGCTATGTAACAGAATCAAGGGTGATTTTGAATATTTTCCTTTAAAAATCAAAACTAGCATTCTACCACCTAATCGATATAGTTTTGAAAAAAAATCAATTTTTTATTGATGCACGGAGCCGAGTTCCCAAGGAGTGGACCACAAAAACCAAAAACTAACCAGACCAGACGATACTGTTTAAGGACAATTGTGAATTCGTGTGAAAATAACAAAACGAATGACACTTGTAGGAATGGACCTGTGAGTATAATCTCAATTTTTGGACGGTATTATAAAAACTTCGAATGCGCTTTATGTAACAATCTCCTCGGATTTTATCAATGTTTTCCGGACTTTTTTAGCCATATTTGTATGTTAACACCCCCACAAAAGTTTATATTGAATTTAGACTATGGAAACATTACGTCAACATTGACTTTACATCCTTCATGTTCCGGATACGACGTAAGATTAGAAGAATGCGTTCAATTATTGCCAATACCAACAGGAAACAAGGACTCTTTTCGTATTTTAACATGGTTAAGTCCATCAGCAAACGACAGGTTCAATAAAAATGACTTCAAAGGTATAATGAATCAGTATTATGGTATTGAAAGCTCGCAGATACAGAACATCAGTATACAAACAGTTCTAAAGGTATTTGGATTGCCTTCCTATTCAGGAACACCAATATTATATCATTTAGTTCATTCAACAATTGTTTTAACTCCAGAACAGAGTTTTAATATATACTATAATACATCTTCAAGTTCGAGAAATCTTCAAGAATTCATATATTTTAAGCAATCCAATGCAATAACTTGGAATAACATCACGTACACTATAATTAAAACTACATCACGTCCATTATCTTGTGTTGGGAAAAAAATTTACAATCAACGCAGTTATACAGTTATTGACGACGATAAAATTAAAATAAACTCGACTGGGAAAACTTATGAGAGATCACAGTACTACGGTGATATTGGAAATGATGTTGTGGTTTGCGAGGAATACATGCCAAACGGTTGTCAGCTGACCAAAGTTGGTCTCACCAAGAATGACGTCACCATATACAAGAATTTGGCTTTGAAAGTGAAGAACACTAGAATGTTTTATGATCGCGGCAACTATGAAGTTTCTAACGGCTTAATTTCACTGTGCAAAACAAGAGAATCTTTCACACCAACATGTTCAACTCGAATGTCATGCAAAGGTCGCTGCAGTAACAAGAGAGAATGGCGAAACATTTTCGAAATGACATGCTCATGTGATCAAGATTGTCATGAAGTTTTCGGAGATTGTTATTCAGATTACATAAAGTATTGTGGAGCGCAAACATCTGGAGAAACACCAAGGAAGACATATAACTACACATGTGAGAACTTTGGGAAATATAATTCACAATTTTGCCAAGTCGCAGACGGAGTTTGGATGGTTAGCGGATGTACATATGAATGGCCTCGCGATTCAACGCGAAGCAAGTGTGAGATACCAATAAAACGGCTCCCACAATCGTCGGATATCTTAACAGATATCTTTGGTTATCTTCCAGTGATATCCAAGGATAATACAACATTTCGTAACAGGTATTGTGCAATTTGTAATAATGAGATGGAGTACAATTATTGGATGCTTAAATTTCTATCTGCAGTAATACCCCCGGAAACTTCCAATATAACCAAAATTATTCGCTTCCTGGAAAAATACAATGCGCGGTTCGGTGACGACGTGGGACCTATACCAGCAGCAGATCAAGCTAGGCGATACTGTTTGAGAAGCATTATCAATAAATGCTCACCAGGTAAAGACGATCCATCGTGTGATTATGGAAATGTTAATTTAGTTTCATTCGGCAGTGAGCATTACACTAACACACGTTGTGCAGTGTGCAATGGTTTATCCAAAGATATGGTGAGCGATCTTCGATGTTTTCCAGATAAAATTATTAAAAGATGCCCCGGCAGTTTTCGACCTCGGTCGTTATCCATTGTATTTGGACACACGCAAGGACAGAATGAAGTTGTTCGTTCAGTCCCCATATATGATGAAAGATGTAAAAAAAAAGGAATGGTCTATGATGATAAGTTACATGTCTGTCGTGTTAACTGGTTACCTTCACCAGAAGAAAATGGAAGAGAAATATTTTATGTCTTGTCTTGGCTACAACCATCGCAAATTCAGTTTGAAATATCATTTACAGCAATGGATTTTCAGAACTCGCTTTCTAAATACTTAAACATGACACGTGAACAATTCTTCGACATCAATATAACGAAAGTTTCTGATCGTCAAACATCAATAATTCAGTTCTACATTGTGGAAACAAAGATCATCTTAACATCACAACAAAGTTTGCAATTTCTATTCAACACGATAAATGCCACTGAGTTTGACAAACGAATTCGTGAATTTATATACTTTAGCGAAGAATTTTCTCTTCAAATCAAAAATCTAAACTATACCATTATCAAAACAACATCCCGACCCCTTGCTTGTGTTGGAAAGGTAACATACACTCCTGAAGAATACATTTTACAGCAGAATGAAAGTGTTTTGATACGAAGCACAAATGAAACTTTTGAACATTATGAATACTACCGAGAAAGGAAAGAGAAAATTAGTGCAAAACAAGGAAACATCACAGTATGTAAAAAATATGTTCCCACAAAATGTAATGGAACTGAAGTTATCTATTCACCACAAGAATATAACTTGATGAATAACCTCACTATCTACGTATTCAAGATATTTCGTACCTATTACTATGGAGAATATGAAATTCTTACAAACTATTCTGTAAAAACTTGTCAAACGTTTGTGGTAAAGTTTGTCAAAAGAATTCGTGAAGTGCACAACGAAGCCCTTGGATATATCACATTTGTCTTTTTTCTCATCTCCATAATTTTCTTGACATTTCTTCTCGTCACCTACATCATATTCCCTCAACTACGTACTTTGCCAGGTAAAAACATAATGAACTTCGCCTTTACTTTGCTATTGTTTGAAATATTTTGGCTCCCCACAAACTTTACCAAGGTAACTGACAACGAAAATATCTGTAAAGCATTTTCAATCATCGAACATTATTTTCTACTGGCGTCTTTCTTCAGCATGGTTGTCATTGCTCATCATACTCGAAAGGTGTTTGGAAAAAACCTCCCTGCACCAAAAATGTCGCCGGGACACGAACGAAAGCTGTTTTACGCGTATTTGTGCTTAGTATGGATCATTCCTGCCTTGTTTATCGCAATTTGTGTCGTCCTCGACAGCGAAGAAATAATAAATTTGGGTTATGGAGAGACGGATATTTGCTGGTTAACGGGAACAAATTCCTACGTTTATTTTGTAACGATACCTGTGATACTAATGCTGATGTTTAATGTCGTGGAATTTGTGAGAACCGCTATACAACTTCGTAAACACGCCCAGAATCAAGCAGGTCTAACCGCAAGTGGAAAACGATCTTCAAATCTCACCATTTACATTCGTCTTTCAACCTTGATGGGTTTTACATGGCTATTTGGTCTCCTGGGTCAAGTGGTGACGTCAACATCTGTGTTTTACTATCTTTTTGTTATATTTACATCATTAGAAGGTTTTTTTGTAGCATGGGCCTTTGTTTTGAACGCTAAAACTCTAAATTTATATAGACATCGCTTCAGAAACACGGATAAAACTTCGAGCAGCAGTAATATTACCGCAAAGAAATCGTTGCCCAAATCTGATCACAACGACACAAAACTGTAAAATATTGTCCACATCGTAATCAACCATTGTCATCATCAGAGATTATACATAATATAAATCCTGATATAAATCTTGATATAAATCCTAATCGTAATCCATTGTCATTATAATAATAATGAACAAGTATTCAACGCTCACAGAGACACTGAAGTTGTGTTTATGTGTATATATATTTGTGTTAATTGCATTAATAAGCCCTTAGTAACTGAGCTCGAGGTCTTTGCGGAGAAATAACGGACCGATGTCTTTTTGTATAGACCGGCGAGGTTTGTACAAAAAGACAGAGGTCCGATAATTCTCAGTAAAGACCGAGAAAGCGAGGTTATTAAAAGGATTATTATATGGCATTATTTGACCTGAAACGAAGCTTGCTTTCTTTCTCGTCTTTGCTGTTTTTACGGGTTCGTTTTCACTTTTCTAGTTTTCGTTCATAAAAAATAAATCGTTTCAAATTGTATCGTCTGGATAGTTAAACTGCTTTCCAAGTGTTTTTCCTTCGACTCACATTCGTAATTGGTTTTTTGTTTGCGTTTTGCTGTTTGCATTACGAAGTTTGTTTACGTTTGACAGTAAAATTACGCGTTTTGGACCGTGGTCGATTACGGGAAAATAATGGACCGGCAAAAATGTTTCTGAGCCAATCAAAGCGCACCATTTTGCCGGAAGTGACGCTTGCATTTAATAATGTGTACATAATCAATTATATCAAATTATTGTCTATGACATTCTCCTGTAACCCTCCAGTTAACGATTATTTATGATTGTAGAAAGAACTCTACTGTTAATTGTAAGACGAAAATATTTTAAGTAGAAGATCATTTTTTAACTGTATTTTCTATTTCTGTAGTGTATTTTCTATATATAATACTCAATATAACCATTAAATATCCACAATTTCCCATAATTCATAACTTACATTTATCCCAAGAAAAGTGATTTATTTAAATGCAACTTACCAAATGTCGTCATGGTCAAAAGGATGAACAAGAAAGTGACCTGAAATAAAACATGAAAATAAACAAAATTTTCAGAGCAAGCTACATCACAGTTAATTTTTTCTTTAAATATCAAAGATTTTGGTTGCATTGCCTTACTTTAATAATATAAAAAAAGTAAATCAAGAAAAATTACCAGGAATTTTGGAAAGTTCAATAGCATGAATGTTTGCTTCATCCCAAACCTAGATGAAATTAATGAAGAAAAATACAAAAATCATTTAAATTGAAATCATTTAGGTGATACAAACAATGAAAAACATATGAATGAAATGAATTATATTACAGTGAAATAAATCATATTAATAAATAATTAATAAATTATATTACAGCAAAATAAATTATATTACAGTGAAATAAATTATATTACAGTGAAATAAATTATATTACAGTGAAATAAATAATCATCAAAGTTCATGATGATCAAGTCACCCCCCCCCCCTGCACATCAAATTAACATCATCTTGCCTAACAAAGTCCCACATAACCGTATAGCTTCAGAATACAACTGCTGTCAACAAATCAGTATTTAGGCAAGCCTATCTCATCCGCACTTAGTTAACTTTTCAACATTTGTGTGCAACAATAAAACATTTTTACAAGAAAAGAAGTGCATAATCTACCTTTCCTTTTACAATAACATTTGCTCCTTCTTCTTTGATTCTTTTGATGGTAAAATCAGGTGTAATTTCTGGTACAACAACAGTTGTGGGCATTTTTAGCTTTCTCCCTGCATAGGCTGCAGCCAAGCCGGCATTGCCTCCTTTAACAGAAAAATATTGAGAAGATGTAACAACAATTGAGCAACAATAACTTGCATTATTTGATGAAAGAAAATGGCAAAAAGTTTTACAAGGAAATACTACAGCAAAAAATTGTGCGTACACATACCAGAGGATGATACAATGTTAGTGTAACCTTTCTCTAAAGCCTAATTAAGTACAGAAATTACAGAGAGTGATTAAGTATCATAAATACACGCCACGATAATTATAACAACTATTATTATAAAATATCAAAGTTCCCTTTCCCTCATATATTTTAAAGAAGTATACCATCTGGGAATAGTACAAGAAACCTATTGAATCATAAAATAAGGATTGTGACACCTTCTTACAGCAGTTTCCAATACCGCGAATTTTAAAAGAGCCCGCTGGCTGCACATTCTCTAGCTTCAAGTATACATTACAACCAACTTTGTTGCTTAAACAAGTACTTTGTAATAAAGGAGTTCGAAAATATAAATTAGATGTGTATGACTTCGTATAGTGCTTTGTGTTACCCGCCATGTTAGTCAGTCACATGACT